AATAAACGTGCCCTTATTAGCTATGTAGATGATGTTGATATTGAGTCCTCCAGTGCAACTGTTTTTAACCTATGTAAATTTAGACACATAATATCATTTATAACGTAATTTTCATCCTTCCCTTACGCTTTCAACATTCATGATAGTAATTTTGCACACAAGGTTCATTTTACGTTGAAAAGGGAATAATCTAGACAAATTGATAGCATCTCTATAGATAATCTCTCAGAACTGGTGTCAATCAAATTTAAAAGCCATATTAATGAAAATGTAACCAGTCAACTTACCAGTAAGATTCCTCTGAATAGAAAATGTATGGATGACATATGAGTAATATATGATACACATTTTGATTTAGTTCAGCGTTAAAATAAATTTCAATCTACACTATGGTGTCAAGAAACTCTAAATAAAGAAATGGTAGTCATGTGCTCACTGTAAATATAGCTCTTAGTAAGAAGAATGGTGACTTGACAAAACGATCACTTTGTTGGAAGCTTATTTAGATAAGATAATATATGAGCTTTCACAATGTTGACCCACTAAAACGTAAAATTGGTTTAGTAATATATCCGTTCCATTAAATTAATCATTTTTGCAATCCAGATCCAATATGATATATTAAACTGATGAATGAAATATTGAACAGATACTCAATGAAACCTACGTAAGATTCAATTCGCATGTGAACCGTCAATCTACTCAGTCATAAAGCAATGTCTATATCATGTTAAAGTACAGAGAGAAGTCAAATTTGAAACACAGTTTGGAAAATAGTTGTCGAGGTAAAGAACCATATCGATTCCACATAAACTTTAGTAAACACTTTTTCACATCCCCATAGTGTTTATCAGTTTAGATGTGTACCTGGAAACATACACGGAGGGGTAATCTAGCTATACGGTCGATAATAGTAGAACATGCGTTAAAAATAACTTCAGATCCAATTCAAATTGCAATCTAAAACAAGCTCAAAGAACTGATGAACATTCCCCTCCAAAGCTAAACATATAATTTTCTAAGGTCCTAAGATTCACTTCTTAGAAATTGAAAGATATTTTAGGCTCACTGTCAGATTTGTGTTCATAGATTTATTAAAGCTATAACCATAAGAAACTTCAAGCCTCCTTAGCAAATTATTTCTTCACGAAACCTGAACTACAAATTCTTACTCCACATTTAGTGTCAGAGGTTTCGTGAAGACGTTTTCTAAAGTTTTCTCAAACTCTCTTGATTAATAAACATATGATCAAATTGCTCAAAATGTACATCAGATTTTCTTCAAAACAACCTTCTCTTATTATAGTGTTAAAAAGTATAATCTATGAAAATATTTAATAAACAAGTTGGTACATATCAGGAATTTACTATGAGTATTGTTTATCCAAGTAAGAATTTTCATTGTTTCAGGAAAACGAGCGTTTATATTGGGAAAAGATGTAATTTGGATACCAGTTTGTAAAAAAAAAGCTGTTTCATATTCCTCACAGTAATATTACTTTTTGATCAGTTCAAATATAAATTGAACGACTTACTATAAGCAGCACTTACATATACAATTACTTTCGTAGTTGTGTGAAGATTTTGTACTATCCATACATAGATACCATCATGAAATTACGGAAACCAGGAAACCACTGAAAATCAAAGAGAACTGGACAGCTGTTTAATCCAAATATGAGGTTTATCATCATTGTGTTCTCACGACCCCACATATGAGTAAACTTAGAGACTTTAATTTCTACCGTAGTCATCGTATCGATGAGTCAATTAACTGGAATCTAATGGCTCATTTTTTAAAACCTTATTCAATTATTGATATCATACAATACACATTCAGCGTTATCGACAAGTTAACGTTTTCCCATTAATTTGATCGATCTTATAAACCATACGTTTCACTGTGGTTGTAATAAGCTGATTTCAAAACTGATCATTAACAAATAAACGACTATAGTAATTATGGACAGTGAAGAGGATGAAAAAGCTGGTTAATACATTCAGAAACCTAAGTTTTCCAGTCGATATCAGTTCATGAGAAACTAATTTTCAGTTTAAATCCTTTTCCAATAAAAATAATCACACAAATTTTTAGTTGGATAGAATAAAAACTAAAAAAATAAATTATCGACTTAATAGAATCCTGCTGATTAGTAGTGCAGAAAGTAAAACCAATATCTTTAATTTACTTTTTCTTAATGATTAGTTCCCCAACTGTTATAACAGATATTGTAAGCATTTCATTAATTGTGTTAATCACAGCTTGATCTCAGTTAGGATACGACTGAAAACCATGAAGTGATTAGATAGTTGTTTCATTCCAATATTAAACCCTTCAGTATTACACTCGTACTATCCCACTCTGAATCAAATCCCTAACCATAAAAGCAACTCTTATGAACCAATTCCAAGTTAGCTCAATCTGTAATTATCTAATATTATAGGTGACAACTATTTCACTCCCGACATGTATAAACATATTAATTACTTATTTAAAGATCCTCATCATATTAAAAGACTAATATCTGAATGAAGAGTATTCTTTTCGATAAATTCTCTTCAGGTTCTACAATTATACATCCAAATTAATAATCCGAAAAATGGACAGATTAAGGGCGAAGTGTATCGTTTAAAGTTAAAGCATGTGAATTTAGGATTGTCAAACAAAATAGAATAAAATTGTCAGAAGGGGTTTTGTAGAGATTTTCGTAATTTTATAGTTGAATTGATGAGTCAATTGAACCTAGACCACCATGGAAAATAAAATTGTTAGTGTTGATTGACTCATATGGAATGTTAACTTGGATCAGCTTATATGTTAAATGAAAATCTTAAGATTCATGATCAGAATAAATATGGGTCAGACAGAGTGAGAGAAATAATAGTACAACTACAATTCGATCAAATGCTTAATGGAAGACTATATTGTGTAAAAAAATCATTAGTAAGACATAATAAGATGCGATGAATGACAAGTAAATGAATCATGTATTGGGGAGATTAATAACGATGTTTAATCAATAGTAATAATAATAACACAGATCTGTGAATAAAGATAACAGGGACAATTACATTTGATTAGGGAATGTAAGTACAATAGTCAAATTAGGTCATTCAATAGTTAAGATTACTATTGATTAATTGGCCTTGAGGTTGGCCAAGGAAAGAGAAACGGTTGAAGATATTTCTTTTGTACACACAGCTCCGGTTTCTTCATCCTGATGGCTACTGCTTCAGCCATTTGAAGCACTTTGAGTTTGACAAAAAATTACTGACCCCATAAATAATTGAAAAGGACTGGTTTATATTGGCACCATGACCAGTTTGCGCTAAATGGGCCAACATCGCGCTGTTCACTTTCTTCACCAGACCTTTGCTTAGCCATTCTGGGAGGTGTTTGCTAACACGGAAATGTAAACTCCTAGAACTTCGATCAATATAAGTTGCTCCACAGGAGTAGTCGAACTGATAAATACAAAATGAGGTGATCATTCTAGGTAATTCATCTTTTAGACTCAGTGTCCCCATTGGGCGCGTAGAAAACACTGATCGTAGTTCTCCGGCATTGAAAGATTTTTGGATTGTTCTGCGTAATCTCTGAGTTAATATTTCTCTAACGCACCCCCTGTGAATTTTAGGCGCATGAACAGGGTTTTCTTATTCACTGCTTGTATTTAACCCATTTTCACCTTCATGATTATATATTTAATTATAAACTTCCTAGGGTCTTCCCAAATTAGTATAACGCAAGATGTTTAGCTCTTCTTCAACTATATCCGTAAAACATATAGGGCATATTCCATAACTAAAAGTTTTGATCAGGTTTCTTTTGTACTGTAGAGGTACAAAGCTAAAGAAATGTGTGTACCACTCTGTCCAAGTATTTATCGAAAAGAATATTGTTCGTTCAAATATTAATTACTTAAATGTTAGTTATTAGACGAGGCAATTAAAAAATCCCATGTCACCAATGTAAAATTACTACTATCCATTCTTTTTCTTAAACTAATTTCATTATATGGCTGGGAAAAATTGTAATTTACAAGTTAAATGACTTAAAATGTATTATGATATCTTAAATTATATAAGTATACGGTGTTAATTTCAAGATCTGAGACTCGTAAATCCATAGTAAAATTAACATTAATCTATCCTACTAAGAATTAAAACATACGCTAAAAGTTATTAAGATCAAATATCATATTTCTAAGAAGTGGAATATAATTTTAAAAAATCAAGATGATTAGAATATAAACAGGATCACAAATGCTCTTAACTACATTCCAAAACATCACAACGTGATGTTTTTGTGACCCGGTATCTGACCCCATTTAGATCGTATGAATGATCGTTACGAAACGATTGCTATTGAAATATATGTCACTAATCCACGTATATAATTATAGACTTAAATCACATTGGTGAATAACGGGATTAAATAAGTCAAATACGAGAATGCATTTTTGAATATGTCTATTTCATACAATCGTTGATCGAAATGTGAAGCAAAACAAAATGTTGCGTAATGGGGAAGCCGAGTGAGTCAATTCTATATAACCAAGCGTGAATCGATATATATAGTTAGACAAAAATAAGCTACAGACATGATGATGAATAAGATAAGAAATGCACACATATTTGCTTACATAAAAGCAGTCAAGGTTGATAAGCGAATAATTAATAAGGTCAAAATGTGGCTCAAAACGAATGAATAAATTGGCTTGTTCGGAAGCCAGAATAAGCTACGTGAGCCTGACATAGCAACCGACACTATAATGTGTCAAAGTATTATATCTGTAACCAAAAAAGATGTATTTCAAATAAATCCTAATGATTATAATCAGAGGAGGGTTTTGTGGCGATTGTAATAATTTAATAATTGAATTCATGAGTCATTTGAAGGTAGACCACCACGGAATAGCTGGAAGCACTGAACGGCCGTTTCATCCTAGTATGGGACTCCTCAGTAGTTCGCATCCACGATCCCGCCCCGCGAGATTCGAACTCGAGACCTATCAGTCTCCTAATGAGGAAAAAACACAAAATATGATAGAATAAATAAGAATCTACTTGAAATGGAAATTAAAAGACACTTTTCTACCGTGATACTTGCTATTAAGCCATAATTTTATGTACAGCATTATTTCAAGATAACATAGACGAACCAATAATGGTTGACTAACAATTAACATATATATTTTAAATAAAATTTAATGAAAGATTGATGAAGCATCCTAAAAAGTGTTCTAATAAGAAATGGAAATAGTCAGTCAGTAACAACGTAGAACTTCGTACGTACGTACATCAGTTCTAGTTGCCGCACCACATTAGTACAGAGATGCAGTTATCGATTCAAATCCCGTAGTGGTAGAGGTAGTAATAGTATAAGTAGTAATCGGAAAGATTAGGGTTTGAAGATGTTATTCAAGGAGTATAATCCAGTGAAATAAATTTGGAAAGAGAAAAAAGGAGACAAGGAGAAGTCAGAAGATTAGAATTTGGGAGAACACAAAGAGTAGATGTACCTGTGCCATTGCAAACGATTTTGAGCCATGTCATTCAGGGTCTCTAACCATCAGTTGCTATCATCTTGCGGTCCCCAACCAGGTAGTCTACACCTACCAATATGACTCAGACCACTTGTCAGTGACTTCATGGACTTGTGCCATGTTTTGGTCTGGCCACCCCTAGCTTTCTTTCAACCTACTCCTATACCACTGAACATAGCACGTCGAGGCAGTCGGTCATTGGGCATACGTAACACGTGTCCCAGCCATCTCAGCTAATGAAGTTTCACTACTTCATCAATTGATTTGCCATCCTTACCTAGTACCCGTTTCCTAACAACTGCATTAGTTACTCAGTGGAAATAGACAAAATGTAAAGTAATTTAAGAAGAATTCTTCAACGATTTCCTTTTCAAAAAATGGTGTTAAAAGTGGAAATTCGCTTTACATCCTATATGATACTGATCAACATACATCTTATAATATTTTTAAAAAAGTCTAATCTCCATTACCTACCAACCGATCTTTATATCAAATAATAAATCCGTTCGTATTAGCACTAATACCTACACACACGTTAAATGAATTTGTAGTTATCTGAGTTCGGTACTAGGTGGTGTTTGAACTGGAATGTACAGGGTTCGAGTCTCACTGCGAATATCAGCAATAGAATGCAGGAACATCCTGGTGACGATTCAAAAATAAGGTGAAACTTTTGTCCTGGATTCTACTGCTACCCATTATTTGACTTTAATACTTAAATTATTTGCAATCATCAGCATGAATTAAATGTTAATCATAGATATTCACCTGCCACAGTAATTGTATACGTATTAACATAACAAAAACAAGTATGGTAGCAGTAGTAGTAAAATGATTTTAAGGTACTCTTCAGTTCAAACAATGAAATATGTAATTAGTTACATGTATACAAAGGCATTCATCTCTAAATTAGTATTCAATATTAGTCATCTCAATTGCATACTTGGATAATCGATTAAGTGACTCATTTAATTGTCCAATCTAGACATATGTCTAACATATTTGTGAATTTATGGCTTGCACAGACCTGTCTCATTATTTATTCATTATAAAAAAACTCATAACTATCCGCGATTTTCCAACAAATTGGATTATACATAATTTATATACTTTTTATTTACATCTCTATGTGAACGATCAATAGACTACATTAGAATATGTAATGGCGTCAGCCTAAGTCTCTCCACCGACAATATTGGCTGAGATATATCCAATAATTTTGACCATTCTTCGCATTTAATTAGTTGATAAATGCTATTGTAACCTTTATCAGGGATTTTATTTCAATCTATGACTTGCGCTATATTTATTTTCTCAATCGGAAATGTTCGGTTGCACCGCTTTGATATGTTCATGGAGAGCAGTTTTGTATACATCTAAATGCTTGAAATGCAGCAAATACCTAATAAACAGAACGAGAAATGAGTGAAAATGTTATGTAAAACAGACATAGTGAACATTGTAAACGTTGTCAATGACCATAGCCAAAGCATCTGTTTTTAAATTCACTTGTGATCCTCCGTGCTAAAAAAAGTCCAGATTGAGTCATTGTCCTCTTTATACTAATTAACTGATATGTATTGAATATTTCTCTCAGTCAAAGGGGTTAGTAAAACCTGTCTGACACACAATAAGCGCTCTTCCATGAAGCGGCACCCTAACAATTTATCAAATTATAGGTCTATGACAGGGAATAGAGATTTGATAAAATAACCCTGATACAGTTAAAAACAGAATTATGTGACGGATTATTTTCCTTTTGAGATTGCAAATCATGTACAGCCACAATTATCAAACAGAAGAACTGTAATTTGGGAGTCCATAAGTAAGTTAAATGGTCAAGCATAGTTGAGAAATTCATACCATAGTATATTCAAGCATTCAGATGTTAACATACTGGTGATCAAAGTTATATATCAAATGAACTTAACAAAAATTTATTGTTTCAGTGTTACAGCCTTATTTAGCTGACAACAGTATATGCTTTGGTATAAGAATTAGATAAGAAGCTTCTAATATAGACATGATATGCTGATGAAACCAATTCATAATCTTCTGGAAAAATCTATAAGATTCGATCATGTGAAGCTAGTTCATTGTGAATCTAATCTCTTCTTTTAGTCTGGGCAGTTGATCAAAATCCCTATACGGTACAAAGTCCATTAACTATTTAATCCGATTAATCAAGTTAGAAATTATTTTCTTTATAATAAATAAGTACTGGAAATCTCCTGCTTTATGAATCCAAATACCACCCGTATATATTTCAGACATTCTAATAAGTAATGACTAGAGAAATTCATTCATTTTTAATGTGAAATATGTATCACTAAAACTATTAATTTACTTATATATCATGAATTGACTGAAGTTACAAATGTAAACCATTTAATATCAAGTTATTGGTTTAAAAAGATCATGTTTACATCAAAACCTGAAAATCATTAATTCAATCTTCTATATGATAGTGAAGAAATACGTTTACAGAGTCTTAAAGTACAATTAAATAGTTATCTATTGTTACCTGATTCTTGGTCATTTCCCAATTAATGTCAATTCGTAACGAAGATTATCAGAAAATCGAAAGTAAACGGTTTTATTTCAAAAATCGAATCCTTATCTAAAAATGAATTCACTTTTTCAAGTCCTATTTTTTCATTTAAAATTTCTATTTGTTATTAAGTTAGTAGTTAGTGTGTAAATTGGTGTATCAAGAGAAAGAAGCAAGAAGAAGAAGAAGAAGAAGAAGAAGAAGAAGAAGAAGAAGAAATGTGATATTGATCATTGATGAAAAATAAAATATTTCAATTATGGCTAAAAGGAACTAAGCATGATAGTCACATGTAAGATTCAATTAGACTTATTTTCTCTTTTCAGTAAATGTTAGGGAATTTTAATGTTTAGAATGCTTTTAACAATATGTCTTTTCAAGTGGTTAATGAAACTAGTGAGTTGAACGCTTAGTCATTAATCCAAATAACAATTAGTTTTTAATGATAGAAATCAAATTCGAAGTGGTTATATATATATATATATATATATATATATATATATATATATATATATATATATATCACAAGGATATCCACATAATGTTGTTAAATGAGTTTTCATTAAAGTTAAGATTATCCAGGGTATGGTAGAAACAATTAATTTCCATCTATAAAGCACACTCACTTAATACAAGGATTTCTTAATTACACATTGATTGTTGTATCTTCCCTATCAGTCAAGCCAGTAGTTGTTTAACTAAGTTCAGTCCATGATTTGATAAAGAAAATTTGATAATCTTTATGTTAATAATAATCACTTACCCACTGGAGACTCACTTTCAGATATGATTCCAGAAGTTCTAGTGAGATACTGTAACCAGTGAAATTTAAATCGGGTGTGAGACAATTATCGACCGAAGCCAATGAAAGATGGTCAAATAATATGGCGAATTGATTGAAGTTAGATATACACCCTTGAATTCTATCTCAGTGGTCTAGAGGTTAAGCGCTCCTAATAAGACAAAAGGTCCTGGGATCGTTGGTGAACACTGCTGAATAGTCCCGTACTAAAACGAAATAGCTGTTCAGTGCTTCCTGATTTTCGATGTTTATTTAAACAAAACCAGGCTGTGATATAAAATATAAGTTTAAAATCTACAAAATGGAATAGAATTTATGCTCTTAATGTACTAATTATGCTCAACTAAGAACCTCATACAAAGTACAAAGTATCAGTTAGTTTAGTTTGTATAATTGATTCATAGAATGAAGAGAGTATGATTATTGAGTGTAAATCTACTACCTAACAATGTAACCATCTTCGTAAAAATCTTTAGCGTTTGATACAATATAACATTAAATATTGAAAATATCAAAGGTGTATTCACATATACCTCTATTCACCTTGTGTACAAAAATAAATACTGATATCGATGAAATAAATGTGACGTCATTCTATTCTAATTAGGTTGTTTCTATTTTCTGTTTTTCTTGAAAGAAACACTTTGAAATTACCTGATTTGTATTTCACTTGTAAACCGATTTGATAAGGAAATGGTTAACTGATCAACTTGATTAACTAAATCTTTAAAGTGCTGATTGCAAAAGATATCGGTGATTATTTTAAATAGTAGGAGAGTAAACTATGATGAACTAAATATTAGTAAAAGCATTTATTGGTTCGGATTAATTGATCTAATTTCTAGGCTGTATACGTCAGAGAGTAACCTCATTTGGAGTACCATTGATAACTAGGTTGGTCTTTGCGATAAATCGCAAATTGATTAAGGTTTGGGTTGTATCACTGGACAATGATGCAATAGCTTTAATGTTTAAGCGTTCGTCGACAGACTTAAAACTCCTATGTTCAATTCATGAAATATTATTTGGTATGTAATGTTAAAAAGTAAAACACGAAGGAAGATAGGTGTGTCATTCCTCAACTGTTTCTAATAATATCCCAAATGTGATCAGTTTGTGATGAATACAGCCTACAAAATTATGATAATAATTAAAAGAGAAATTTCCCAATAGATAAGAGTCATTTTTGATTGATCAGTCGAGGTGATTTATACAATTTTCAGATTGTGTTCCAACATTAATTGACATTAATTAGAAGATTATTAATAACTAGGAAGGATTCTTGATTTGAAACAAGATTGAAACTTTCCAAAAGTTCACATTTACTATTTACAATGAAATTAAATTTTTTTTTAAACTTTAGATTTGATAATAAGTACAATAAGAATTAGTCATGTTTATTTGTTTAAATGATCGTTGATAAGCTTTTTATTCTTTAATGTTGAGATTGATTAGATACCTTATCACACATAATTGAATACATTTAATAAAGATCTATTTAGGTAAAGATTACAATAAAATCAATATTCAGTAATCAAAAACAATTCATCATCATATTAACTATAGAAGCGTTCTGAATACAGATAAGTCATACGAAAGTCTATTTCTTAGTAGTTTCAGAACGTTGCATGTAGGAATACAGCTCAATAAAGATAATTCATTTATTTAGAACATGATCTTTAAATAGTGCACTATAAGTGATTGATACATCATTTTATTAATATATACTTGTATCTACTGATTTATTCATCTTTGTTCATGCTGTATGATTTTAATTTCTTTGATATTTTAACCGTGATGATGTAAGATGTTCAAGAATTTCAAGAATATCTTCTATGGTTAATTGACATTTATTAAATGATTCTTGGAAATAATCCAAATTTTCATGATTTATTGTTGAAATAATTCGAGTCAGTGTTTTATCGGTTGGGGTTGGTGCTGGCCCACCTGGTTGTTCTGTGGTTTCTTCACGTGTTAGTGATGAACTTGTCAAAAAGCTATCATTGGCTTCTGTTATTCTCCAGGACATGGTAACACACAATATTGGTAATATCTTTATTAAATCCAATTGTTATATACGTATATAGTTATGTATTATTCCGATAGAATGAAGTTGAGAATTTCCCTTTTCTCGGAAGTAATGTCGTATGAAATTGTCGGAACGGCTTTTTTTATTTCCGGTCAATTGATAATACTTTTTGCTGTTTGGATTTATTCGAAAACTGATTGGTTGATGTATTGACACACACACACACACGAAAGTAATTATGTATGAGTTCAGTACCATTCATTATATAATTAGGTAATTGGTACATAATTGATCTTTAGTTAGAAGTGCATATTTCCAGTATACTTGTATCATATGATAATAAAATACACTTGACTAATTTAAGGACAGTTTAACTTATGTATTGAAATATATAAATTACTTCTAAACTAGGCATGCACACGCCCCCAAATGCCCTGGTACGGCCGAGAGTGGGGAGAGACAGCTCTCCCTCTCGAAATGCTCTCACATGGCCACGCGTATATAGCCTCTGCCAGGGAAGTCCTACTTACTGCCTTCTTGTGGCGGGGGTGTTGTTTACGAAAATGAGAGGACGGAAAGCGAATGTCCAGCGCTTTAACCGGATTCTAAACCAATGGTGCACATGGGCTCCAGTATTCTGCGGGAACAAATGGCGTATGAACCAATTGTTGGTCACCGGCTTCCATGGGAATGCATTTCCTCACGATGCTCCAGTGCCTTGTGGGTTAGACCTTCAGGTCGAAGGCTCGGGGAGTGGCCCCTTAAGAAAACCACGTGCTTCGGTTTGGACACCCGGGCAGCATCACAGCCCTCACACATATCGAATGAGATTTGTGTGGCGCATATGTTTTTGGTGCCTCTTTGTACCAATATCTATGTGTTGAAATAAAATAAAATAAATAGGCGTGCACAGTAAAGTTTATTGAGTTTTGTTTAAAAGTTAAGGCTTTTCCCAATGTTAATATCAATATTGAAAAGTCCTAATTAAGATAAGACAAGCATCCTGTGTCCTACTACTAGTCCAAATCCATCTTTTCACTAAAACCTTTGACAAAATGGCCGTATGGAACAAATCCATAGTGGACGCACAAAAGCCTACAAAGATTGATCGAAGTTCAGTCAAGATTAACAACAAAATGGTAAATCTGTTATGATTTTTGTACCTGTGAATTATTACGCGACAAATTCGTCAACGCGAATACCGACTTATATAACCTTGTTCTTGTGATAAACCAATGACACATCAAAATAGCACTAGCAGCCACGCGTCAACTCTGAATCTTTATTGGTCCTTCTCGCCTTGCCCTGCCCGTTGAGACCAGAACACAATCTCAACCTCCACTGTATGGAAAGTATATTTCATACATACGCAGTTTATATACAAGCAAATTAAACCGCGTCATATCACAAAATAAAAAAATAACAATTATACAAATGAGTGCAAAAGTGGCTCTGAGTGTGAGAGACTATAACAAATAGATTACTCGCTTACTTACGTCTGTTACTCCTCGTGGAGGAGAATAGGCTGCTCACCAGCTGTTATATCTTAGTGAGAATTAAAATATAGGTAACTTCTGGGAACTATTAATGGGCTAATATTATATATATTCTTATTCAGTAATTCGATTATGTATATCTATATTCCTCTTATTATAAGCTTTATTTTTACCTATAGACTATTATGATAAGATTTACTATTCTTAAATTATACTTAGTTTATTAATTAGTCTCCCACATTCACAGCCACTTTTTGGCTTGGCTATATTTGTAGGTTTGATTGTCTTCATTTGTCCTTGTATTCATGCTAATTATATCGGTCGGTTAACTGAGTGACTTCTCGGGTATTTCAATGTGCCCAATGATTGCTAAGTTATCTGAATGACATCCCTCTAGAAATTCTCTTGGATTCTTATAGTTTCATGCTACGGGAAATTCGACGTTTGTTGGTAGTCCATAGTTGTTACTTGTTTCCGCTCGAAGATTACTGTCTCTGAGGTATAAAGTTTCATCAACTATTATATTTTGCCGATAATTCATACTCTGACTGATTTGCAATGCAGATATTTATCTCAATGTATCGGCTTCCTGAATTCACTATTCGATATCTTCATTTACTCGATCCACTAAAGTGAATTTATTAGAATAGTCGGCTTTCACTTCTCTTTAAAAATAGACCGTTTCTAAATATTAATAAACAATTACACTAGAAGCACGAGTCAATAATGTATAAACAATATTGAATAATTAAAAAATAAATGAAGCTTCGACCTGTTTAGTGTTTGTCATTTGGTTTTTTGGTATTGATTATTTCCTGTGTAAAATTGTAAACCATTTTGTTTTGCTATAAAGTAATTTTACAATTGTAACTTGTACCAATACAGTTGCTATTTTACATTTTCTGTGTCGGTAATTGATAATGATGGACAATAATAACCAGGTCATAATCTCGTTGGTCAATAAATGACCTAGAAAATGGTTTCCTTGCAATTATTTATATATTTCAGATGAATTTTAGTTGCCTATTTTTATGCTAAACAGTTTGCGTTTAGGCGTTTTATATTTTATTAGGGAAAAAAAGAGAAGGATTCTGCTGCTTGTTTGCTGTCTCTTCTAGCACCATATCTGTTCATTTGAAGCCATTATGTTATTGATTCAGTTTTAGTGAGTAATCTCTGCTCGGCCACACAATTCACATTAGTGTGTGCTGATTATTACTTAATTATGAATATACAATTTACATTATAGTTATTCACGATAACATTGTTGTAATATACAGTGAACCCTGAACAATCGTTTCATTTTAGTTTAGAATAACTTATGAGAGTTGCATACCGAAAAATTCTTATGAAATTGAACCAGACACTTACGGCCAGCATCAGCTCTTCATGAAATTATCTGAAGAATAAACAAAAGTTTCAAAAAACTATTCTCTTAGTAACGCTTAAAATTTAAATATGATTTGTGAGGTGCTAGTGAAGGGTCGTGACCTTAGTATTCAATCGAGTCAGTAAACCACGGATGCGATTTGATGTGAATACCTTGGTATCACAAAACTTACAGAAATTGAAAAGATGAACCATTGGATATTGATTGAATGAGCTGAATTTATGGCGCTTGCCACGAGATTCAAAATGTCTTGTATTTGTATTCGTCTGATGACATGATAACAGATTGCTGAATAGTTCCTAACTGGAACGTGGCAACTTCCTAGTATTTCTTAGTTTGTCAGCAGACTTTCAGTGTGTAAATTAATTCGGTTACAAAAATAACTTAACATGTTAGGAAATTTATGCATAAACATAGATTTATATAATGTCGTGAATAAATGCCAAGTATCCTATATAGCGTCATGTTAAATAACTTTCTGCTTTTATCTTAAAATAATTACATGAAAGTACATATCACGTCGAATGTTTTATCCTACTTCAGACTTGTTAGATGGATCTTGACGCACATAGTAAAATTCAAACCAAGGGTCAATTACTTTAAACAATACAGTGTTATTCAACAAGTTACTAAACCACAAAATCTACCGTCTTCAAAGCTATATATTACTGATCGTAAAGGTTATTATTTTCATCCTGTCGATATTCAGAAATGAGTTGATTAGTTTCATTCTATATTCAAGTAAAGACTAACCAACTTTAATACCGATTATCAACAATGGAAAGATATAAACCCCCTAAAATTAATAGTATTTATATAAAGTTTATTGAAATTCTTAAAAGGATCTTTCCACTATTCATTTAGTGAAAAACAGTACATTTTTAACTAACAATGAATACAATTTTGGACAGAAGATAAAACAAACATACATCAAACAATGTTACATAATTTTCCAATAACTGGGTTTCAGTAATTACAAAAAGAAAGTTATGGTAAGACTTTTCTTATAGTGCAAAACGAAGTCAGTCCTCTCTGTTTATTACAGTGTTTTTCGAATATCAAATCAGAAGTCAACTTGTTCTAGATTGCCTAGGTCTTGTAGTATAGAAGGAAATTATTTTCAAAACTATGTTTGAAATATTATACCCTTTATTGTATAAATGAATAGTCAACTCGACATCATGTGATAAGTTCAGTATGTCATATAAATGAATATATACTTCGGGTTTATAGAATTATATAAATATATATTGCGCAGTTAAATTTACATTCATCAACATCATGATCAATTATTATCAAGAAATGATTAATTAAGTAATTTGTAATCATTACTACCTAGATTAATGAAGGAACAAGTCATACAAAAACCAGAAAACTGGAATCTTCTCTTGTAAACAACAAGTTTATAGTCAATAAAAAAGTGCAATTTGAAAGGTGTCGAACATGAGATCAATCATACTTTTGATGATAACAATTTCACATTAAAACAAGAAATGTAAAATTGAATCATTATTTTCATTTGTTCTAAACATTAAAAACAACAGAAGGAAACTATGAACTGTAATGTATCGAAAATCACTGCACTTCGACAAAATCCTGAATCTTAATATGGACAATTCGATATTTTAGTGGAATCGTTTTTTTTTCGAGGTGAATGATTTAGGCATAAACCATTCGTCGTGTTTTTTAAGACAGTATTATCGATATGTTGATCATTTGTGGTGAAATTCTCATAGCTTACTTCTATCTAAATTTCGTGTTGTTGTTTAGAAAGACGATAAAAGCTCCAAGATTAAACTGTCCACCTGAGAGAGAGTGATTTCGTCAAAATCATCCACCTGAAGTTTAAATCTTCTTTACTATCGCACAATTCAACATTTAATATAATAATATACACACAAACATTAAGCAACAAAACTATAATAGTGTAGTAAATCCACAACACGAAGAAATGAAAACAAACTGATAATTATTACGTACCAGAACAACAGCTCATGACAAAAATCCATCAAAATCTCTCTCAGCCATGGAAACAGAGAGATATGTAAGTTTACTCAGTATGACAAACATCCTACAGCTTGCAATCAAACTATTGAGGCCTTCTAAAATCAGTTTGTTCCACAATATAACAAGATTTTTAGACTTACTAGCCTATCTTCGTCATTCACCTCATTTTTGTGAGTAAAAATTAGTTATAAAGCTTCACACATGACTTATTTCATGGCACTGGATATTGATACGAATTCGGTCGAAAAACTTTTGAAACCATGAATAGAAATAGTACAAACAAGGTTAGAGTAATTTTAGATTGGAACATGTCGTTCAATAATCAACAAATATAGTGATGTATACCCAGACTATCAGTTAATCAGAAAAACGATTACAAAAGCAGACAGTGAAGATATCAATGAAAAGATTGACAGTAAAATTACTATTAACTAACAACTGGGATATTTCCATAGATATATCAATAACACAACTTGAGCGAAGACATTACTTTTCAATTAGTTCCTCTCTTCTCTTTACACCCATATTATTTCACATTTACGCTTTGATTTTTTCATCTTTATTGTTGCAGAATCATTTCGGTAATTAACTGGTCCCCAAAACCTTAACTTTAGCCTCTACTCTTATGTAATCATTAAAAATAATTGACTGACTCTTAAACATAAATTTACAATTACGTACTTTTCATTTTTATTCTTGCGTAATCAGTCTTAATAGCAAACTAACTTACATTCCAGTTCATTAGTATAATTATTTATTCATTACAATTTGATTAGTAATTAATTTTGTAAACGTAAAAAACTATCTAGTACTGTAGAACTATAATAGTGTTAATTAAACAGAAATAGATTCTTTGTTCAACCTGTATTTTTAATATGAACAAACAATCACATTCCATGTCTAGTGATCAAGATGCTAGCCACTTATGTCCCACGTGTAGGGTCGTGGATGTGCACTGTTGAGGAGTCCCATACTAGGACGAAACTGCCGTCCAGTGCTTCCAGTTTCTCACTTGTGGTCTGACATTGATCTATTCATGACATCAATCTAAATGTTTGTAGCTTATTCCTTTTCAAGATTTATACTGGAAGTATTACAAACAAAAGGAAGTATCACAGATTAACTACTTCACATTGAGAACATAAGATCATCAAACCAATTGTTGGTGTTATTATTAAACATTTTAGTGTGACATTTCTGTGAAGCAACTTCCTAATGAAGTTGGATAGTGGCTAGTAGTAGTATCAAGGAGCACATTTTATCTTATTTCGAACTCATCAGCCGGATATATCTGTAATCCAGCATTGATGCTCACACTGAGACCTAGACTCGGCACCATCTAATTTAAAGTCCTAACGTGGTACCAACTAAGCTAATGAGTCTGAATAATCCATAATTTGTTCAACAAGTTTGAATTTTAATTCCTTTTTTATCGCTTGCTTGAATTTTCCTACTGATGTTTAGGACTTCAATTGGTCAGTGTCTTATTGGCATATGTGCATCCTGTGCGGATTGCCTTGATATTGCCTTCATTCACAAGCATTATAAGCTGAGATGATGGTGGCTAGCAGTGGAGTCCAGGACTCTTGCCTCAGAGGGCACATTAACTCTGGAATACAGGTACATTCAGCTGACGAGACTCAAATGGCACAAATGGTATTCAATATCAATAATGCTTTCTTTTGTCAGTAATTATAAATTTAATTATTCATTAAAATAACCAACATTTTGTTAAACATCAATTGTATGAATACACTTAATGGTTAATTTGATCTGACGTTTATTTAATTACATGTTTCATTACATCGTAACAAGAGACCAATTTTCCTAGACTATAATAGTTACATATGAATATGTAACTAGTACTATATCAAAACCCTAATAAGATTGATTTTGACTTCGACTACACTCGTGACTTTTAATTCTGTTTTGGATGATTAAAAAATAGATTTTTATAAATTCTGAGTTCATTCATAATTGCTGAGTGGATAACACGATATCCTCCTTGATTACTCAAATAGTATATCGAAGACCTGAAGTTCCTGACCTCGATCACATGTTGGACAATAGAAGCTTAGTCATAAGAAATCGCAAACTAGAAAAAACAGTTGTCCAGAGCCCTCTGATTTGCTCTCAAATTGATATCTGTTGGTGATAGAAAGTCTTATCAAATGATATTTATCCTTAAAATGTAAGTTCTTCGTGTTGACTATTTTTTAAATTATGAACCTGATCATTTAATTTATATTGTTATATAAAACTAAACAGTGTAGTGAAGTAATTTGGTTAATTAGTTAAATTAATTATATTCTTTTGGAAATAATCTATATACTTTGCTTCACAACTACTATCTTGCTATGATATGCAGTTACATTGGATACGAAAATGATCAATATTTAGAGTTCTATATCTCAATGGATGTACAATGACTTTTGGATGTCATCAAATATTAATAAGCTGTACTCTATACTGTTTCTAATCATAACTATTTTGGTTTATATATCCTTGTATTAAATAAAATGATTTATTATATTTAAAAAATAAATTTTATTTATTAATATCAAATGGGCTTTGTGGATATTATACTAATTTCAACGGTTAAGATCATGAGTCAATTGAAGCTAGACCACCATGAAAAACCTGGGAGCACTGGACGGCCGTAACTCACTGAAGACAATGGTGGATGTGTCGCTCAATTTCTTGGATTAGTTGAAGTTAGACACAGTGGTCTAGTGGTTAGGTGCTCGCGCGAGAAACCAGTAGGCCCTGGATTCGAATCTCACGGGGGGCGAGGTCGTAGATGCGCACTGCTGAGGAGTCCCACAATAGGGCGAAATGGCCGTTCAGTGCTTCCAGGTTTTCCATGGTGGTCTAGCTTCAATTGACTCACGATCTTAACCATTGAAATTTTATTTATTAATCGGACCTTCAGTAAGTGTAATAAACCATAAACATTAAGACCTTCAGATGGTGGTTGGAGGTAGTCGACAGGCAGCCCTGGACCCAGGTTTCGTGCTACTTGGTACTCGTCAGCAAGGTGTACCTGTAATTTTGAGGGAACTGGTGCTCCCTGGCGGATTCGATCTCGTGTCACCCAGCTTCACAGTCAGAGACGTTACCACTGGGCTATTCGGGCTGCGACTGACCTCCTGTAGGACAGAGTGCAAGTAGCACGAAACCCGGGTCCAGGGTTTCCTGTCGACTACCCCCAACCACCATCTAATCTCAATATATAGTGCCCGCAGTGTCGAGTCACCTAGACTGATCGATAGCAATCGATCTGCACTAATAAGGACTAGACACGCATGACATTGATCGCCACCCAGTGATCAATCAATTGTGATTAAGACCTTCACTATATCACTAATATTTAAACATTCTAATTGTTATTTTAACAGTAAATAATATAATGGTCAATAAATGAATTTGGTAGTACAGCCTTAAATCTATATAGGTTCGTACATGACTTATGAAATCCAAAATCGATAAATATTTGCGTTTTAAATTAATTTTGAATTATGTTTATTCTATGTCAAATGTTCGAAATAAAAGTACATTTTTTAGTTAGATAATAAAATGACTCATTTTGCTGACAATTTATTCTAGTTTTAATTCATATATATATACTTGGATCTTTTCATTGATGTTTAGGACTGCAATTAGTCAGTATTTATTTGGCATATCCACATCCAGTGTGGATTGCCTGAACTCTGTAGCTAAGTGAATAAGATAATGATGTTTGAAGTGAAAGGTATTGAGTTCAAGTTCTAGGATGAAGGTGCATACAGTTGACATATCCTAAATAGAACGAAACGTACATCCAGGATTCCACTACTAGCTGTTAATTCTGTTAATTTTAGAAAAATTGTATTAGTTATTCAGATTTGTGAGTAGTCACTACTCAATCACATTGATTATATCACGATAGATGACTACCTCTGCATATTACACAAACTATATTACTATTTATACATCACTAGTTTATCATTTTATCATTCTATATTACTATGACAGAACATTATAGTGAACAGATATCATAAAAAAATATCACACTAAGTGAAAAATAAAACGAATGTTATACGGAATAATTATCACATTGAATTAGAGTATGACTCAGGGTTTTGTTCACATTTTTATAAAAGGTTAAGAAAAAACATGTTACTCATAACAAACCGAAACTATGATCCATAATACATATGAATTAGAATATATTGAACATAAGGAAAATATTATTGTAACCGAAAAGAGCATTTATTCAAAATATGATAATATACAAAATGGAATGATAATACGAAAATAGTAGAAATTAAAACAAACATATTCAAAATAAAATTATACATAATAAACAATACAAAATAATAAATAAATACTTAAAAATTATCACTTACAAGTTCGTTAAGAATAATCATCACAAATAGTGAATATGCTTCTGTATAAGATTTGTAGCTCAGACTTCTTTTTGTGGAGGCCCATAGTTTGATTTTGTCCTCATTTAGATCGACGATATTCGTTGAAGGGCTAACCATTTTAGTGGCCCATGGATCTGACTCCTATTTAGATTGTATAAATGTTTGTTATCGCCTATTCTCGTATATAATCGTCGACTTAAATCACATTATCCAATAACGGAATTAAATAAGTCAAATAACGGGAATGGGATTTTGAGCTGAATGGGATAGAAGGAAGAGAAGCGATGCAGAGTGGAGATGGCTGGTAAGCCAACTCATTTGTAGTCAGGCTTTAATCAATATTTATAAGCAGATAAAAATAAGCTACAGACATGCAGTGAGTCATGGGATATTATGTGTTCACACATATACGCTCATATAAAAACAGTCAAGGCTAATAAGCGAATAATTAACAAGGTCAAAATATGACTCAAGTAGAATGAATAGAATGGAATGTCCGAAAGCTAGAATAAGATATATGGCTTAAAATAATGACTGACACTACATTCTATTTGAACTTTTTGATGACGATGTCGTTCAAAAGAACGATAAAAGTTCCATGGAAAAAACCATCCACCTCAGATAACAAAACTCTATCAAAATGCTTCTGTAAACTTTCCTCCTATGATATGAAGAGAAGTAGAAGTTTAATAATGTTTTATAGATAATAAAAGTTAATAATCCTATAGAGTAGAGAGTAGCGTAAAAAGTACACAACAATATTATGCTCTTTGATCAAAGGTTATGACTAATAAAGTAGAATGAAGAGTGACATTAATTAGTATTGATTTAAACGTCAAAAAAAAATTAACAGAACTATCAATTAACTAACAAATAAAGTACATTCAAAATGGATACTAATTTAATAATAGATAATGAATATTAATATGTGATTACATATACAATATCATACAACAACAATAGAATGATATGGTATTTCATTGTGATTACAAAAAAATTATTTAATTTATATGTTACTATATTGTACAAATAGATGGCGTTAAATGTATTTAAAAAAAGTTATCCATGTACTTTTGATGTTAAGCGTAATTCGATACTTACAATCGAATTAAATATTTAAACAAAACTATGAAAATATTTTTTTAAAATTATTTTAAACATTCTCGATATAGTGTGTACAAAAATAATTTACATTTATGTACTCATGACAAATAATAATTCTTGTAATAAAGATGAAATCAGAAAGTGATACATGAGAACTTTACTAAAATGTTACTTCATCATATGATTTATTCATTGTATCAGATCTATAGTTACATAGTCAACAATGATACCTTGAACAATATGAACAAAACAAACTTTTCTTTATTGATACAATTGAGTTGTGTCAAAAATTTTTCCAATTTTACAAACTTATTAATGATAGACTAAAATCAACTGAAGAAGTTTTAGAAAAGTAGAATTAAGATATCTTTTATTTATAAGTCTGCTAGGCGGTTAGTGATGGTCAGTAAATAACTCTTTCTCAGACTGAAGAGCTGAGTGATGACGGTTCAAATACCATAGAGAACATCAGCTCCCTAAAGAGTGTAGGTAAGTCTTGCTGACAAAGTTTCCTGCAGAATACCTCCAACCACTAAATAGAAAATCATGGTAGATCCAAAATAGAGTCACTTCAACTGGTAGTCATATCGCAAATTCATCAAGAGGATTTGGTCAGAACCAAACAACTGAACAAACATGTAATCGGTTACCATTCAGTGATTAATCAATTGTTATTTTACATTTACTTATCATCGTATATTTTCACCTAATAGAAGTGAAAAATTGTTTTTATTGGTTAGAATATAATATCTAGTGTGTGAAAAATCAAAGTTAACAAATAATAGTCATTTGGATAACCCAAAACTTTTCCGACGTCATCATTTACACACGAATATATCAAAATTAAATTAGTTTGAAACGTTGATACAACAAACTGTTGAATAAGAATGCCGGATCATTTTTAAGAAGTTTAAATATTCACTAGCGAAACCAAAGGTCATGGGTTCGATTCTCACATTCGGAGTCTTCAAAGTGATTTCTGATTAAAACTAATTGATTCAATTTACAGTTCCCGTCTATCAATGTAATAAGCATGAATGAAACAAGTTTAATCAAAGTACGCTTCCACAAACTCTCTCTCCTTGTACATTTTTTATGGCTTATATTATTTGTATATCCATTTCAAATACATCAGACATATCGATTGTACTTACCTACGCCTCATAACTTTCAAAGAATCTCGGCTTTCACCACGAAGCGTCATAATTCTTCCTTCAACTCCTAGGAAAGAGTTTAAATGGCTTAAATTGTTTATTCTGGTTAGAACATTTTTCAGTAAGCTTGTCTTCTACGGGATGGAGTTGCAAAACCATCAGTCTTTATTTGGACTTGACATCGTAGGTAACCCTAGAAGAACTACAAGCGGAATTATATCAATAGTACAATCATTTAAAACATATTTTTATGAATGAATAACTAATTAAAAAACAATTATATTGCTAATATTAATAATAGTAATTGATACAGCAATTCATTACATACAAATCTATTTATTAACAAAGTACAGCTATTTCTTCATCATCTAGTTTTGATCCTTGATCTCAATTAGTCCTTGGTTTTTCACCTTTAAAAACAATCAATTTTTCCTATAATAAAAAATCATTGTACATTAAAGATAACTAACTGTGTATTTCAATCCAAATTATCGCAAAAAAGGTACTAAATTGAACTTGGTAGCAAATTCTCATGATTGATTTTATATAGTTACCCAATCAAAAATAGATTTAAGAGTTGAACATCACCGACTGACTGTAGTTAGCCAATCATTGAGAATAAAGAAGCCCTAGACAACTCTTTCGTTCTTGTATGAAACTCCTTATCAGTTTCCATCCCCAATTCCGTCTGGGGCAGAACCTAAAATGTCTATACGCTACTGTGAGCATTTAACCTACAAACCAAAATTGGAGAAACAGATAAACAAATATTCCAATCTAGACATTTAAGACTGAACGGAAACATTTATTTACATCACTCGTCTTTTGTTAGATAACAGTTATACTTCTTCAGTATTAAACACTAGTGACCCACCATAGTGTCTAACTAATTTCCTTATGTCTCGAGTCGAGTACCATGTAATTCAATCATTTAGTAAGCAACCAGTCATTCATTATATCGACTGTTGTTAATTCCCGATAATGACCAATGTTTATAGGTTGGAATTTTTGACACATATCTTATTAGAAAAATTATTTGACTGCACAAATTTCGGTTTTTCACTAGAATTCCAGAGACTCATCTCGAAGATGTTCTCTAGTGGGTACTTACGCCTGTTGCCCCCCACAGAGTATTGGTCGACGACAAGTAATCCTCATTCTACTCTGTCAGAAAATCTCCTCCACAGTTGTTAACAAGTGATATCCATGCTCCTGATGTCTACCACACATTCCTCACACGATATATTCTTCCATCTCCCACATTCCCCTCCCAATTCATAACTCCATGTCAAGTCTTGACTCATGATGCAGTTCGATGATTTCCGTCACATGTATCCTATCCACCTCAAGACTCGTTCTCTGATTTCATCCTCATCTGCAGGTTGGCTTGTTCTCTCCCATAGTAGGTTGTTTCTGATCATTGTCTGGTCATCGTATTTGGAGTGCCTTGATTAGATAACTGTTAATAAATAACTGTACTACTTTGATGATGGTTGTAGTGGTTCTCGAAGTTTCATATTTGTACAGTTGTACTGTTTCAATGTTGGTGTTTAGAATTGTGACTTTGATGTTGTCTGAGATTTGTGTTGGGTTTTATATGTCCTTCGATTGTAGGAATTCTTCTCTTGTATTGTCAATCCGTGCCTTCATATATCTAGTGAGTGCACACTTATTCTTAACATGAGAGTTGATGACTTATTATGGTTCTCCAGTTTATATTAATCTCTGATTTAAAATAATTTCAAATTCAACATTATTCACTAATTTCATCCTGCCTATCATTTAAATACGCATAACAAATTTTCACATTTAATGTAAAATAACTTGGTAGTTGAAAAATATTAAAATTGTATTGTGTTACCAAACCCCGATACATGTGAATGAATGTATTCACACCATCATCCAGACGCTCCATTTAATTAAGTATCAATAATGTACATTCATATATATGAGAGCAAATAAGAAAGCTGGTTTTATGTAAACTACTTTCACGTAGTAGCATTTAATTACAACCTCTTACTCATAATAAAACAAATAATATACGAGTATGATCAGTATAGGGTTGTGGAGATTGTTAAGCTTAGATTGATATCATGAATGGATCAATGGTAGTCTAACACTGATCCATTCATAATATCAATCTATACAAGTATGAATTGATTTTATAGTTAATTCACTTAAGAAATTACATGTGACATGAGGATTTAGATATCATGAGGACCGTACTAATTTTACAGATGTATAGTTAAAACAATAATAAACACAAATAACAAAGTGACGTTATATTTGTGATATCACAATGGGTAGAAATTCGAATTTTTGACATTTCATGATTTAAACTGAGTCATTTCTCCAGAGATTAAGCAAATAAATAACTGAATTTAAATTAATACAAGTTTAAATAGTATAGGGAAACAAGGCAGTTTATTTAGTTCAATCAAAATAAAAAAGTCTGAAAATGTCAGTCTAAAGTCATTTTGGTCTGGATTATTCTGTGTGGAAATCAAGGTGTATGTTTGTATCTTAGTGGGTGTGAAAAATGTGAAATATGTAATGTGAAGAAGTACAGCTGAAGTATGTTTGTGTGAGTTAATTCTGAGACAAAAGAATCGAATTAAGTGCAGCCGTTCAGATAAATAGATCATCTTGGATGGATTTCCAGAACTTTTTTTAAAGGGATTTGGCATTATACGAACTGTCTCAGTTACTCGCCTTTCTTTTTAGTTGCAAATCGAACAAATGTGAATCCTTGGTAATAACACATTACATCACATATTATTCAAATAATTACAGACAAAAGAAACATATATATGCAATAAACAGGACTTGTATCATAATACAACAAATTACATTGTCTATTTGATGATGATCGATTACAGACTCGATTGTTTCAAAAAGTGTCACTTCTTTCCTAATTTATCGACTCCCATCAATTCATGACTAAGATTAGTGATGTGAGTATCGTTTACTCCGTGCACGACGTCAATAGTTACTAATTAATGCATCATTTAATACAATTACTATTTATATCAGGTGGGCAAAATGAC